CTTATCTGCTTCCAAGTTGCTGTCAATGTCCTGGCTCCAGAGCGTAGCCAAAGAATGACACGAACCTAAACAGGCTTTTAAAATCGTTTTTTTAGAAAATTGTTTTTAAAAAAAAGCCTTGGAACAACTGCATCAATTTTCAAATGGAAGCTGTGGTTAAATATGGAGGCCAATTTGCTTTTTTTAAAAAAAAAATCCTGGAAATGTCCATTAGGGGCCAAGAGAGCTGTTGTTTAGCCCTTTGCATCACTCGGACACCGACAGTGTGACCTGACTGGGCAGGGGACAAGGCATTAACTCCCTTCCTCAGTCTGCATGACTCCATAAAAACTCTGGCATATATAGAAAGAGGCTGAAGAGCACAAGGAAGGGAAAAGCCAAACGAGGAGGAAAATGGAATACAGACGATTCTGTCAAATGTTGCTAACATGTCACAGTGGAACCCAACAGACAGGAAATCTTCTTTGCAGCCTGAACTACTGACAGAAAAAAACTCCCAATAACATTTTGTAGGATGAAACCAGCAGATGTTGCCACTTCTTCAATAAAATTATCATTACATACCCCACCTTCATGGTAGATGTCTCTTTCCTGCTTGTTCAAAAGACCAATGTTTCAGAGTGTTAAATCAACAGGCTGGGTATGTGGAATTAATTGAATTTACAGAAGCTTCTATTTTTATATTGAGCAGAAGATGAGACATTGTAAACCATTCCTATTTCACCAGCTTTTCTTGAAGAGCAAGGTATATAATCTCTAATTCTAGGCATTTTTTTAAACTAAAGGTTGTTTAAAAATCCAAGTGGCTTGTGCTGTTCACAAATTCCAGACCATAAAAGCACTGAAGCAAATCTCATTAGGAATATAAATGAACACATTTGAAATAAATAAAAGTGTGAGAATGTTAATTTTTAGGTGTCTATTTTTTAAGACAGCACACATCCTACTGTGGAAATTGTACAGGCAGCAGTGTGGAGCTGTGACCAGGATGGGCTGAGATCACAGGTGAGCCACTACTGTTGTACCCTTGAGTAAAGTACTTCACCTCCTTCAGTAAAATGTCCATTTACATAAACATGCAAATGGAATTTGCTTTGGATAAACGAGTCAGCTGAATAAATCAGTAATAGATAAAAATATCTGTCAGAATATACCACATCACCCTTTTGTATTACAGTGCTTCTATGACTCATGCTTTTCTGAGACTAAATTTTACAGAATATTGTCGATTGTTGTTTTCTTAAGACCATTAAATGAGATATGTCAAGCCCATCACTTCACTAAAGAAAGCTCAAAATCTGTAGAAGTGCACTGGCAAGCTTAAGTCTCTTCTGAAAGCATTTCTCGGTACTTCTTTAAAAGCCCTAGTCTTTGATTTTTGTAATACAGAAAGGAAATGAATGAGTCAGGAAAAGTATTATTCTCTTCTACAGTATGTCTTTAATTCAAACCTCTGTGTGATATGAGGGTCAATATGGCTTTACTCTTACAATGCAAGTTCTCGGTGTCTTACTTTCCTATTGAACGCAGCTCTCTCTCAACAATGTTGATGTCAGTCTCTCAAATGCATCATGAAGCAGGATTAATTTGCTACTCACCTCGGCCCAATTCAACCTCCTCTACCTTCCCTGCTCCTCCACATTCCCTATACCCTGAGCTGTCAGCCAGGACAGGCTCGGTTAGGGGCCCCTTATACAGTCTATCGTGGCTTATATGCCAGGGTTCTCCATCATCCTGCAGTTTCCAAGGGGCTAACCTGAGCTCTGGAAACACAAGGGTGGTGTATGCTTCAGCTAACGTTTCTGTCACTGTCAACCAAACAGGCATCAAGGCCAACTTGTGTCCAGGAAGTGGGATTGCCCTGACCTGTTGACAAGGCTATACGGACGTTGCTGGTTTAATACTTGAATACTGATGCTGACTGTGGATTATACCCGGTGTAAGGTCCCGAATGTCTTTGTGATCCAACGTTCGGATGAGATGTGAAGCCAAACCTCTTTTGTGAGCTGATCTGCTGTAGTGCCCGCCACACGGATGCATTATTCAGTCTCTGCATTGCTTTGAAGACATGTGCCTGCTTAATCACAGAAGCAGGCTGTTCTGTGAAGAAGGTCTCAGCGGGTACCCTCTCTGTGATTAAATCCCTGATTTCGAAAGCGATGGAAGACACGAGTGCAGTGACTGTAAGTGTCAGCTTAATGACGAGATGCTGCTCAGGGTTCAATGGCTGAATGATTTGAAATGGTTTTCTCGATGGGCAGAAGCTGCTTTATGGGCGTCGCAACAAGATTGAATACCAGCTACCTGACAGCAGAGTGGCACTGACAAACCAAACTGGTGGATGAGTGGACAGAGCTAAAGCAGTGTCGATTTCAAACTTGTGTCATCTGCATAGTGCCTGTAGTAGAAGAGATAATGTCATGGTCCCATAGCCAATAAAACATGAAAGTGTCATGGAAAGTGCACAATTGGAGTTGGTAACAGATGATCAATAGCAATTACGGACTTTCAAAAATACATTTGTTAGTCCTCTGGCTTCTGTTATTGCTGAAGACATCAGATGCACATACTATATGAGGCCTGACAGGTATTTTCATTAGGTCTGCAGTCTTTCTGACAGAATCGTGAAAGACGGGTCAGGATCAATATTACAAACATAAAGGGTCGAAAGGAGAGATCAAATGTGAACTGACAGAAGAAACACATTTTCAATGCTGTAAAATGCTCACTTGTTATGACAGTTCATTCTCAGGACAGTGCTCCTGTTTCGATAGAAGCCTAATTGCCCAGCACTAAGGACAGGAATTTTGTACGCTGTTCACAATTCCAAACAATGGCTTGAAAACAAATGGTCTTCATATTAGAGCCTTTAGTTTAATAGCAACTCTGAGTCATGTCCAGTGAGATAGGCTTTGCTGTATTCTGTGTTCTTTAATATGCTGTGAATATTAAAGGAGCCAAAATGCTTTTCTAGAATAGGAGGGTAATGGAATGAAATGATACAGATAAATAACATTCTATTGTTGTTTTGGTTACTACAGCAATGCAAGTAGGAAGCAACCATTTATCAGATACACCTCCTTTTGTGCCAATTTACTTAAGTTAAAAATGCTCTCCTCTCATTTTGTTAGAAAGAATCGTTTAAATATTGTAGTTTTAATTAGTTGAAATTGTTCAAACTTCTGAAGAACCAACGAGTTCGTACTAATACATGTGATTGCCATTAAAATGTTACAGCTAAAGTACATAACTAAACACAATTGCACAATTGTGCAATTTTATTTTCTCTAGGTCTTAAATTTAATTTACAAAAGAAACAGCCTTGGCAAACGCTATTTTTTCCAGTATGCGTTCACGTTATTCATGAGTTCCACCCGAGGAAATGAAACAGACGATTTCTCCCAAACTAGAGCTCTCCCCAGGGTTTAACACAGAAACTCAGGTGTTCCCGGTCTGCCCAGATTGCTTCGTTTCACAGCACTCAGAGGTGTCAAACGTCCTCAAGGGCAAAGAGAACCCAAGGCCACTGCCATTTGGAAAGAGCGTGACCGCCATCTTGTGGACAAAATACCTGTTTGTGCTACTAAATTCCCAGTACAATTAATACGTCGGTACAGTTTGCTTGTTTTTTAGCAATTAACAAAAGAAAACAGTACATCATGGAGTGCTGACTTATTTTACAGAGATAAAGTAAGATATAATGGGATTTCAAGTAGGGAGATACGTCGGCAAGCACAGGCTGCAAAGGAACAGGTAAATATTTATTTCCTTGCTGAAAGGAAAAGAAAAGACACACGACGTTTAGGTTGTGGAGCCCTCTTCAGGTGGAGGATGAGTCAGTACTGCTCACAGTCCAGTGTCCACAGTCTGGAGGAGCAGTACTGCTCACAGTCCAGAGTCCACAGTCTGGAGGATGTTTGAGTTCTGCTCACAGACTAGAGTCCAGAGTCTGGAGGATGTGTTAGTATTGCTCACAGACTAGAGTCCAGAGTCTGGAGGATGTGTTAGTATTGCTCACAGACTAGAGTCCAGAGTCTGGAGGATGTATTCTAAGACCATGGAGCACCACCTTAGCAGAGCCTTTACACTGCTTCCAGTCAGAGTGTGCGGAGACAAGTTTTTTGTGTCTCCTCTGATCCTTCATGTGTTCAACATGAAGAAAACCAGCCGATGTTTTCAGACAGACGTTTGAGTGTCTCAGTGCAGATGTAACGAGAGGACGAAGTCCTGTATCCCACAGTCAGCTTGAAGACTCAGTGAGTGGCCTGACAGGAGAACAGTACTGGTCTGTGGATCTGCATTAAGTCCTGAGGTGCAGTCATAGGGGCTCAGGGTGACTGCTGGGTCTAATTAATTTCTTTTGTTTTTCAAGTTTATTGAACATTAAAACATACAAGGGAGAAAAAGCATATGAAACAGAAAATTGAGCAAGAAAGATTCAGAACAATCTATTACCAGAGATCATTACAACTCTGAGCTGTAAATGCTTTAGATTTTAGAATATCTGCTACTATTTTTAAGATATAATGGATACAGAATTATCTAAAAAAGAAATATGTGGTACTGTATATATTTCCAAATATAATCTTTCAAGAAGGCAAACGTTGTGTTTTCCTTTCTTCTCTTTTCATCATGGAATAAACGTTTGCTTGTTCCAGTCAACAACTTGTCCAACGATGCCGGGAATATAATAATAATAATAACAACACTTTGCATTTAAATACAATTATCCAGGTTCCCGCTGTGATTGACATGTACTGTACTGCACTGGACCCACTGCATCTAGTGCATTATTCATGTGTCTTCCGCTGTCCCCGCAATATGACATACAGTAACAGCATAGGTGCACAACAGCGCTTTAGTATTCAGGGTGATTGACGCAGCTGTTGTCCAATGATCGCGAAGATGCTGTAATTCTTCGTGAGTGACAGGATTCTCGCCCAATGATCGCGGATATCGCGGAACGTTTCTCTCATCCAATCAGCGCCGGATGTCAATATTGGCAACAGAATATCTGCACATCATAGAATTAAGTTCATGTTAATTGACATTATACTCATACACAGGTATATGGTATAACGAAGTGCTTTTTGCTTAGCCCTCAGGCGGTAAGTAGTGCAAACAACAATACAATTGTGCAAGAAGACAAGAGACAACAGGTAATGTGCAAAACAACAATAGTTGTGCAAAATCATACGTCAACAGAATGAAATAAAGGATACAAAATTATGGAGAGTAAACGTCTTGGCATGTGAGGTAGAGGTAGATTTCAATGTGCGTTTGAGTTTTAATAAAGAGAGAAGGCACCGTAAGGGTTCAGCTCGTAGGTAAGAGAGGCTGGGAGTTTAATAGTTTGATAGTGCGGAGGTAAAAACTGTCTCTGAGTCAGGTAATCCGGGCCCAAATGCTCCGGTACCGTTTTCCAGATAGTAGAGGGTCAAACAGTCTGTAGCTGGGACTAATATAGAATTAAATGTATATATTAAACTGAAAACGTAAAACGTTGCTATATTGAGAAATATTGGAATGGAAACGGAACTATAGAACAATGTACGGTAGAAGATATTTTCCAAATTCGTCCACCAGGCGGCGACGGTTATACGTGAGTCTATGGAGGGCCTTAAAGTTCTCATTGCATTGATCTAAACACCGGGCTCCGAAAAGCAGCTGCAGTAAATTTTCTGAATTTTGCTTCTAAATTACAAAAAAAAACCTTGAAATAATTTCTTTTCTATGAATACAGTCAGCAGTCGTTGTATTTATAAGACTGTCTCCTCTTCATACTTTATCTCCAGTTAGGCAAGATTCAGCAGAGAGCTGTGGCTGTCACTGGGATTAGGATTGACTTCTCCAGTGAGCTGCTGTGAAAACAGCCATGTCTTTCATTTCAAGGCTCATGATTTCTGCTGGCCACGCTCAGAGTCAGAGGACAATTAAATACTCAGCTTTAAAGCACTAGGTAGTTGTGGTTTAGTCCAAACCAACACTCTCTCCATTTTCCCCAACTATGAGACTGTTAAAAGGTTCTTTATATATTAAAGCTGGTACATGTGGCTACTGGTATAAAATTGAGTTATGCAGATGGGGGTCTCCGTTTGTACAGTAGAAGCTGCCCTACAGTGTTTCACCCTGTGAAACTCGGGGCACCTGTGAGCTCTACAGTGTTTCTTACAGAGAAGCTCCATCTGTCCTCATGTGGCCAAGAGCAGGAGGCGTAATACAAATTAGACTGATTGTATTAAAAAGTTCAGAGTCAGTTCTTCAGACAAAGTGTCATTTGTGTAAGAAGTGACTAGTACTGCAGCAGAGCTTGCATTCAAAAAATCACATATAATCTTGGTTTCTTTCCATTATGTAAATGTATTTAATGCTGCAATTTCTGGCTACACTGTGCGATACAGTGAAAAGTACAGGACATGGATATACTGTAACACCTTACTCACACACACACCAATAGTTAATCTAGAGAGCTTTCATTTTCAAAAAAGCTTCATGTAAAATCAATTTCCCTGGTCGATGTTAATCTTGTCCCTAATCAGGACAATACAGATGTCAGTCATTGCTGACTTCTAACTTAATACGAAGCAGAATTCGATATTCTGATTCCTGATCTGGTAAACAGATCAGAGCTAATTAAAACACCACTTCTGGATGAATTTCCGTCCACACACTTTTCTAGACTTTCATTAAACACTTTAAAAGCTTTTCTTATATAGTTATCATATACACCCTTGCTCTATTATAGAACATGGCATTTAATTGTTTATATCACTTTTATCGTACTTATTAGCATTCTGTGTTAACATTAAGACTACCTGGGATATGTTTGCAATTCTGTTTTTATCTTAACTTGATCAAATGAGATGAAGTAAGAAACCAGTTCTCTTAAATGCTGGTTCATTTTGGGGCGAAAAGCAAAGGCGCAAAATCGGCAGTTAATTAACTATTGAAGAATTCAGCCGGAGAAGTTAAAATCCAGCGCTGTGTCCACCGGGTCTCCTCCAGGCCAGGGTGCACAGTCTCAGCTGGGTCCTACAGGTGGCGCTGGGCCCCTCTTACCTGGATGCAGGTCCTTTTCCCCAAGTCCTTTGGTAGGTGTGTGAATATGCAAGACAGACTGTACAAATCATCGAAACACAGCACAGTGTTCGATAGATAGAGAATTACAAGTACACTTTAGAGGAAAAGCAGCTTTATTTTGTTGGAAACCTAGAACTGGGATAAACTTACCATTCAGCAAGTAATATTGAGTCAATACTCTATGTGGCTTTTGAGTCAAAACCATGTACTGGTGTAAAGCACAAGGTCAATCTAGACAGGAGTCAGTATGGAAAGGAAGATGTCCCTGTTCAAAGAGAAGAGGAGACTGGTTGGATGGGGAGGGGAGGTATATCTTCACACAGAGCTCACCACCTAAAACTCTTCAGGGCTGCAGCAATTGAGCTGACAGAGAAGATCCAACTCGGACAGGAAGAGTTTTAATACAAGCAGGGCAATAACACTGGCTTCACAATAAAACGGCATATACAGGTCTGGAAAAAAAGATTAAATCAGCTAGCGTTTAATAAAACATCAAGTCAGAATTATAAGCCACCAAATTGACTTCAGAGACTGAAACCTAGAAATGTGTTAAAGAATTTGTGGGAAGAGCTGGTATTTTACACTAGACAGGGTGCTCTGTGCAAAGCACAAACTGGACGTTTGCTGGCAGAACCGAGATGCTCTTACTTGCATTGTGGCAGCTGTGTCCTCCAACAAGCTCATGGTGCAGGATCTCTCCTTCCCAGGGAAAGAAGCTTTCAGGTCTGAAATAAGTCAATGCACACTGAAAGCGTTAGACGCTGCTATATTGAGAAATATTGGAAAGGAAACGGAACTATACAATGTACAGTAGAAGATATTTTCCAAATGTGTCCACCAGGCGGCGACTGTTATACGCGAGTCTATGGAGATCCTTTCAGTTACCATTGCATTGATCTAAACACCAGGCTCCAAAAAGCAGCTGGAACATGTGGCTGTTGGTATAAAATTGAGTTGTGCAGCTGGAGGTCTCGGTTTGTGCAGTAGAACCTGTCCTCTCACTGATCTTCAGGTCAATACAGCAGAGATTATCCAGTGGTACCACAAAAGAGAACAGTTCATAGAAGTTAATGACTGTGACATCTTTAATTTGTTACAAGATCAGGGTAAGGATCACTACACAAACCAAGTAGTTGGATCTACATTACAGATGCAGTGTTGAGGTTGCCCCATTCCCCATTGTGGAGCTTCAGTGACCAGTCTCTATTTTCCCCACATGATCAATAGGTCTCCAGGCAGGTAAAAAAAAAAAGCCTCAGCTTTCTCTTGAAAGAATTTTGCATGACCAAGTCCTGACAATTTGTTGGTCAATGTAGTATCGTCTACAACTCAACACCAGCAGTACTCCTAACCAGAGGTGTCACACTTAAGACTCCCCGTCTTGGACAGCATGAGCTCCTCAACCTTACCCAGATCATGAGCGGCCATTGAAAAGACATCCACACTATCCCACAGACTTGTCGTCTAGCCGAGATACTGCAGTGAAGAAGCTCACTTTAGCATGAGGACTGGGGTGATAGACTGATGCTTTTATCAAGACAGACAACCTTCAATTTCTACCCATTTCAACAGCCAGGTACACCCATGTCCTACCTGGAGTTTTAGTGTAGGGATCTCATCTCACCAATTGTGCAGCTCTGTCAAGCTGGGTTTCTGTATCCCAAAAACAGGAGCACAAATGGGCTCTTCCTGGTATACAGCTTTCCTTATGATCCTCCAACCCTTCACAATAAATAGTTCTCATGGTCTTCTCCAACACAAAGCAAAACCTAAATGTTTTCCACCCAGGCTTCGCTTTTATAAGCCTCATCATTAATTACAGGGGCTTGACTAATTCTATGGGAACCTATCCTCAAAGCCCTAGAATCGTCATGTGGAACGGCCAGGTGTGCTCGCTCAGTAATGCACACCTGTTTCCAAATCCCTGCCTGCTCAGAAGCCATCTTGGCTCAGAGAAACATCACAGCCTGGTGCTTGAGCCAAAATGAAAGGTTTCTACAGAAGCCTTCTAGGGTCACTACGACATTGCTTTAATACATTTTCCCTGAGTGTTATTAGAAGTGTGTTCTTTCTAAACCTTTCAGCATACCCAAATCTATTTCAGAAATAGAATATAAGAGAAAGATAATAATTTGATTATTGTTTATATAAATATTCCTTTATACATATACCAATTTGTGATTTTAACTCTTAAATCACTTCAGCGCCCAATATTATTTCTCTTCCTGTGTCAGAACACTTGTCAATACGTGTTATGATTGGCATGATGTTCTCAGTTGATGCATAGCAAAGGAGAAAGTCAGTGCTGCAGTCCTATTGTGAAAACATATTTTGTGAATAGAGTCCTTAGTATCTAAAAAAACAGTGATTGATGAGAGGTTGTAATGTCTTTTAGCAAAGCAGATTGAAGTATTACTTTGAGAAATATAATTTGCCTTCGGTATTTTTGATGTCATCTATTGGCTGATGATTTCAAACCGTTTTTTTCAAGTTAAACTCCCTCCTTCATGTTTTCACTGTTGAACTGGTCCTGCAGCTTGGTAAGGCATTTAAATGAACTAGCAGGGCATAGCAGGGTGTAGCAGGCCATAATCATCGCCACACCTGGAGGGAAGTGTGTGTGAGGAAAGAAAAGGGGGAAAAAATTTCCCCAGCAGGCCGTGAGGCGTGAGTCTGGAGTGTCGGATTTGCCTGTTTTGCCTGTTAGTGTCAGCAGTGGCAGTCACTACCCCTGTGGTGTCACACACCTCTTTGCAGTCAGACAGCTTCCTGTTTAAGTTCTTGCTCCCTTCTGCTTTCAACAGCTTCCAGAGGCTCCGGCTGAGCCTCTCGCAGTATTTGTGAGCCTTGTACAGGATCCCACCTGAGGCTGATCCTGCTCTAGGTCTTTTAAGGAAACCGTTCATCTCCCACCAGGTAAATTCTGACTCTTCAAAAGGAATGGTGGGTTCGGCTGGTTTAACATGTGTAGTCATGTAGTCTGGGGCCTCTATGGGTCCTTAAAAATATTCTTCCAGCTCCTCTTTGGTTAAATCCAGCTTTCATGATCTTTTATCCATACTTAATGCTGACGGTAAGGATTAAAGTTTAGCGTTGGGGTTGCACTGAGGTTGAGATATTTGAATATATCTGAATATAATAGGTACTTCAGTACAGTGTTGTAGTGTTAATGAAACACTACTACAATGCTAATGAAGTAAGTGCTTCCTGTTTATTCAGTTAACCAGTTTAAAAATTAAGCTGCAGTGCCACAGTGTGAACTACTTTGACACAAACCAGGGGAAACGTGGAAGGATGTCACAGGGAAGTGCATTTTAAAGTTCCTAACACAAAGGGTTGTGGGAGAATGTTACAGAAAGTAGAAAGTTAGTGAATTGAGTGTGTAATAAACGTTTACAGATGAAATATCTGACTTTTTTGTGCAGCGTTAAGATCAGTTAGGTTGCAGAACAGTACGTGCCCTCTGAAGCCTATTAGAGCCACGGAGAAACAAATAACTCGTTTATAGGATAGTATAGTATAGGTTTTTAAACTCTTTAAACATTGAACGGAATACATTTACCATTACTTGACAGTCAGCTTCACATCGAGGAGA